CTGAACGTGTTTCCTATCTGGCTCTTCACAGAAATAGTGTGCTGACCTCTGCCCTAAAGTACGGTTCACGTAGATTAAATGTGTTCCTGTGTTTCCCTTGCAGAGACAGCAGGCCCCGGGAGGGAGTCTGGACGGCAGTGAGAGAGGGCAGGGCCTGGACTGCGCAGTCCTCACGTGCATGGTGCAGCTGGCTCAGATCCTGGTTGGAGGTGGCCTGGGCTTCCTGGTCAACAAGGCTGGGAGCGTCATTGTGGTAATCACAGCCTCTGTGGTGGCCATGATCGGCTGCTGTTTTGTGGCTCTCTTCGTAAGATATGTGGATTAGGTCAATAGGGAGACATCATCCCTAACCTCCAACACAGTGAAGGACATGGTAGGAAATCAGTCTGTCCTCTGGCTCTGCAGCTTTGGGGTCTGCCCATTGGCTGCCCTGCGTTATGACTTCAGCTACAGTGATCTGCCTGCACGTCACTTTCTGCCAACCCTCTGCACAGCAGTTTCCTTATTTTAGGCATCATCTGTCTCGGGAAAGACTGGGCTCTGCCTCCATTCACCGGTGGCAAAGGTTAATTGTGGGAGATGGCGCCTCCATGTGCCTTCCTACTGCATCCCAGGACATTCCAGGCCTTGACAAAATGCCAGAAGCTGACTAGTTTTACACAGGACAATGGTGTTTATTATATCGTGTGTTGTTTTTTTCTTAACCAGAGGTCTATATTTAATCGGAGGGTCATACTTTTCATTATTTCACCAATACTCAAAATATTGCTGATGATTTATGATATTAGCTTACTCATATTTAATTCATATTTCATTTACTCATACAGACAGTCCCTGGCTTACAATACAATGGTTCAAATTACAATTCTTCTTCCTCTTCTCCTTCTCCTTCATCTTCTTTTACTTAACGATAGTTGGAAAGCAGTGCACATTCAGTAGAAATCATACCTCAGATTGTGAATTTTGATCTTTTCTGGGTGATACATGCCCTTGTGATGCTGGGCAGCGGCAGCCACAGCTCCCAGTCAGTCTCACCATCCCGAGGGTGAACAACTGGTCCACTGACCACCATTCTGTCTCCATACAGCTCCACTGGTTTTGTTTCTGGTTTCCATTTTCAGTATGGTATTCAGTAAATTACATGAGATAGTCAACACTCAAAAACACTCCATCTTCCTTCCTCCCTCTCCCTCTCATGTTATCCATCTTAGAGTGGCGAGGTCATGACTGACTCAGAGGAGTGATCAGGGAGAAACCTGCTGTCTAGCCTATACTGTGGGATGATGATGAGCAAATGCTCAGAGGACCCCATGTGACCCAGAACCCTGTGTTATAAAAGAAACGCCTCCCTTGTAATTCACCTGTCCTTGGTGTCTGCAAAGTTTAAAAGTAGAACTATTTGCAGACTTCAATGTTTATTTCCTGATCATTTCTCCAAGGACTGTTCTGGTGATTGAAGATTTTGAAATCAATGAATGGGTGAGGTAGGAAGGACCTGCAGTTAAGGACCATCTTACCTGGACCCCAAGAAGTTAAAAGTAGTCATCTCTGGCCAAGCACAGGGCAAGGGAAGCTCTTTTCAGCTGAAGGACTGGATGGGCTGCTGGGATGAAGAAAGGAGCTAGGGCATGCATTCACCACCACCCCTAAATCCCCTCACACACATGCACTCACACACACACTTGGATATTCAAACACTCTGCTCTCTTAACTCCACTCCACTCAGGTTTGAATGAGTGGATAGAATCCAATTTTAAAAGCCTTTAACCATTTTTAGGCACTCAAGTACTTGTTCTCAGTATACTTGTTCTCTTGTTTCTCTCTGACAGTAATGTTCTATTCCCAGACAAATAAAGCAAATGCAGGGACACCTAAATTCGGATCAGAAATCCCAGGAAATCCTGTAGGAGAAAGGAAAGCCAAACTGCTTTGTCTGCTGCTTCCCGCACCATGCAACTGACATTCCAACCTCAAACCTTTAATCACTGCTTTCCCTCAGCTGCAAATGTCCTGTGTCCCCACTACCTGTCTAAATTGCCATCCCTGCCCATTTAACTTGTACCCTTATTTCTAGGTCCATCTCATATACTATTTTGATAAGGAAGTCTCTTATCCTCCAGCAGAACCAAGCTTTCTGCCCCCTATATTACCATAGCACTTTCTTTTAGCCTTATTATGACATTCAACTCACTGTTCCATGACCTAGTTGCCTTGTGTACATGGCTGCGTCTCCTAAATATACAAGTCGGTAATGTGTCTAGTTGATGTGTGTGATCTCAGCACCCAGTACAGGGCTTGGCACACAACTGGCATTCAAAAAAATAAAATAAATTTGGCCATTTCCTGGTTTATTTTTTTGTCTTTGTGGTAAACAGAAGTCATAGTCTTGGCTCTCTCTAGCCATGTTCTCAGAAGCCCTCAAGTTTGGATGGGGACAAGTGGATTCTTTTCACAAAGTTCTTTCATGAAGGCCTTGCCCTTAGCCCCTTCTGTTTTTCTAGGGCCCATGATGGCAGAAGCACACTCTTCAACATACTTCCCTAAAAACCTGAACCAACCCAGTATCTTATTCTCAAAATTGAAATGGCAAGTTCCTGTCACAAAGAGAATCTCTCCATGAGAGGCTAATATCAACATTATACATGGATACACTGCCATGCTACTACTGTTTGTTCTTTCTGGGTGTTTCTTGCTTGGTTATTTTGTTTTTGGGGACTCGGAGGGGATTGCCATTCAGTTTTTATTAGCCCAATTGCTATTCGATATCAGTATCAATATTTTTTTCTTCCTAAAGAGCAAAGATAGACTAATTTGACAACTCTATTTATTTATTTATTTATTTATTTATTTATTTATTTAAGTAGACTACACCCAAGGTGGGGCTTGAACTTAACAACCCAGAGATCAAGAGTCACATGCTCTACCAACTGAGCCAACCAGGCATCCCTATTTGACTACTTTAAAACAAAAGCATTATTCAGTTTTCTAAAAAGCTAACTTCTCAGGACTGCTCAGGATTGAGGAGATCGGGAAGCTTTTGTTTTTGTGGCAAAGCTATGAATGCTTAGTAATTACACTGCGTTGTGTTACAGAATGCAGGACGAGGGATGCTAGGGCTGCAGGTGTTCACACTGAGCCTGAAATCTCAGACAATACAGGACATTTCCAACAAAAGTACTAAAAGATTTACAGTTTGAGAGGTTATTTAAGCAGACATGTTTGTATAATGATTATTTATTGTGAAAGAACCACAACAATAGATGCCCAAGTTGCCAGGTTTGCTTTTTTTTTAATCCCAAACTAGATCACCCAAAGAGAACAGTAGCACCTCTGTCCAAACTGGCAGTTGGATGGGTAAGCTGATGTTTGATCCCTATTCTCTAAGCAGCCTCAAGAAAGGACTAAATTGCTATGACCAGGACAGAATTGTCTTAAGAAACGTGTCATTCTTCAGAGATGGTCCCATAGACTGCCTGGTGGTTAAGGAAGAGTTTGTAATTCACGCTCACCATGCAGAGCATTCCTTAGAATGAATGGAACTTGGCCAAAGAGCCATTTGAAGTCCCACAGTATCCTGTGGAAAGTCTTACTCCCCACCTTGTCTTCTCAATATTATGAGAAAGAGAGAACCCCTCAGCAGAAATTGTGATGATCCCCTCAGAATAGGCTGTCTGTACTCTCTTCCCTTTGGGATAGATTTTACTCGAGTCTTCCATTCCCTTTCCCACCCCACGCCTCCTGTTGAAATCTGGTTCTAGGAGTTTGGTTTCCAGAAGTCTCCCTTACCCCCCCCCCCCGCTCCCCCATTTCTACAGCATCTTTTAGTTTCCTGTCCTGAGCCTATAGAAGCCGACCCTTCTATAGGCTGGTAGAGCCTCTATCAAACGGGCACCCGGAGTTCCAAAGAGTGAAGGAGGAGAGGCTACAGAAAAGTCCCCACGCCCAGTAGCGTGTCTACTCAGACCTTTTCAAGTTGCTCCAGGGCACAGCTCACCTGCCGCACGCAGAAAGGAGCACACAGCGTTTCCAGTACCCACGCCGCTTCCCAGGGAACTGGGAAGTCCAGGCTTCCGGCACCTGGCGCCCTCTCTTCCTGCTCGGTTACTAAGGGAGCACGTGAGCTCCCCTTTTCCTTCAGAGGCGAGAGCCTGAAAAGGTCTCAGTTCAGTCCCTCTAATCACAATGCATCTGCTCCCTCCCTCAGGGACGCCACTCTCCAGCGAATCGCTCGCGGCGTTTGCGGGCAAGTGTTTTGTCTCAGGTGACAGCTGAGCACAGAGTCGCGGCCCGGCTCCCGCGTACCCACTCCCCCTGTCCGCGATGGTAAATGATACAACGGCCTCACGGGAGATGCCTCTCTCTCGCGGTGCATTTCTCTTGAATGCGGATCAAGACCGTCGCTACTTTCTTCCAACTCCGAAAAAGTTTCTTATTCCCAAACCGGGCTCTCTGCGCAGCCACGCCGCAAGTCAGAAGGCGCTGCGGCGGTCTCGCCTGCCAAGGCGCGAAGGAATGGTTTTTGTGGGAGGCTCCCCCAGTTGGACGCGCCGCTAGGACCCTTTCAAGAGCTCCATAAAAGTCGCTGGAATAAATGCGCTCAATTGCCTGCGCACCACTTGGCTGAGCCCCACTTCCTCGCGCCCCAATTTCTTTACATTCCTGAGTCCTTTCTCCGCTTCTGGGCACCCCTACCCTGCCCAGTGTTGACAGCCTAAGGAGAGGAAGTGGTGTGGGGGGAGAGAAGGGGGCGCGGGCTGGTGGCTTGGCTCTGCGATGCTGACCCGGGCCCCTTTGCCAGCTTCCTCTCTCCACCCTGTCTGGAAGCCTTCCCTCCCCGGAGACAGCCCCCTCGTCTCTTCAGTGGCGGCTCCCTTGCGCCCCTCCCTATCCTCGTCCCTCCTACCTCTCGATCCGGCGGGCGCCCAGCATCTCCTAATCCGCTCTCCTCTTTCCCCACCCGGGGAAGGCCACTTTGCGGTGACTGCGCACCCTGGGCTGAGTCAGTAGGCGGAGCTGCTGGGCAGCAGATCGTAGCGCCCCCCACTGTAGACCACCACGCCAGGCGGGTAGTAGACCAGGTCTGGCTCCGCGGTCGGGTGGAGAGGTGCCAGGGCCTGCAGCCCCTGATCTTCGGGCTCTGGCTTGGTGGTGGCGGTGAAAGGGCGCATGCTGGTGAGAGAGGGCGACGCGATGCGCCACAGCAGACTCTTGAGCGCTTTGCGGAACTCGCGGCGCACGAGGCAGTAGAGGATGGGGTTGAGACAGCTGTTGGAATGAGCCAGGCACACGCTCACCGGGAACGCGTATACCTGGCATAGGAAATACTCTTGGCTGAAGGGCACCGCGTTGAACTTGATGAGGATGCTCCAGGTGGTGAGCGCCTGGTTGGGCAGCCAACACAGGAAGAATGATAGGACCACGATGGTCACTGATTTGGTGACTTTGGACCGTCTCCTGGCGCTGGCTGCGGCCAGGCTGCCCCGGGCAGCCGAGGCTCCTCCTTCGGTCCCTGCCACTCGGCGATCGGAGATGAAGCGCACCAGCAGCAGATAGCACAGGCTGATGATACACAAGGGCAGCACGAAGCCTAGCAGCACCTTCTGCAAGTGGTAGAGGCCCAGCCAGAACTGTCTGTCGCCGCCCAGCAACTTGTCTGGGAAGCGCACCAGGCACAGCTCCTCGCCCATCACCTTGATAGTGGTGGAGAAGATGGCATTGGGCAACGAGGCCAGCGCGGCGGAGGCCCAGATCAATACGCACAGTGCTTTGGCTGAGAAGCAGCAGCTGCCCCCCAGGCTTTTGCCGCAGCAGTCGCACCGGCCGTGCCTTCGGGTCCTGTGGCTCTTAAGAGCCGAGGCCACCGAGTGGTAGCGCGCCACGCTCATGGAGGTGAGGAAGAAGACGCTGGCGTACATGTTCATGGACGTCACTATGGATACGATCTTACACATGGCCTTGCCGAAGGGCCATTTGAAGTCCAGAGCGTTTTCCACCGCCCAGAAGGGCAGGGTGAGTACGAATTGAAAGTCTGTCAGCGCCAGGTTGGTGACGAAGAGGTTGATGGAGGACTTGCGCCATCCCTGCTTACTCTTCATCAGGTAGAGTACCAGCAGGTTGCCGGTCAGGCCCAACGCGCAAACCACCCAGTACACCACGCTGATGAGGACCCGCACCCGGGCCTCGGTGTCTGCACTTTCTGTCCCGCCGGTGCCCGGGGGATGCCCCGGCGCCGCGCCGTCAGGCAGCTCTAGCCCCAGATCCCACCACAAGTCCTGAAGCCGCAGCGACGCGTTGCCGCTGGTGTTGGCCGCCTGCAGAAGGTACGGGATCATACTGAAGAGTTCTGCGAGCTCGTCTCCGCCAGCCGCCTTCTTCATGGTGACTGTCGTGGCTGCAGCGACCACCTGCAAGCACAGGTGCCTCTAGGTCATGTTCCAGGAGGACTTCAAGACCTAAGCGAGTCCAACGCACTGGGGGTTCTGTCCCCGCGAGGGCGCAGGGCGTTCGTGGGAGCTTTCAAGGAAGCAGTTGCACGTGGCTCTTGGGTACTGGGTGCCAAAAGCTTCTCTGGCCCGCGGCGGCGTTGGGGCGCGAGAGTTGGTCTCCGCGTCTGTTCTGGAGCGGAGTTCTAGAACCGAGCAGCGCAGCTCCGAAGGCGAGCGGTGGGCGTCCAAGGGTTCTCTGGCTGAGCGCGGTGGGCGTCCAAGGGTTCTCTGGCTGAGCTCGGAAGATCCTTGCTGTACGATCCAGACGTTCCCGCACTGCGTTTGTTGGGCACTAGCCTATACCCACCCTGCCCCTCAGGACCTCTATTGGGGGCCCGCTCCTTCTCTTTCAAATACCTTTGTCGGTTTCCTTTGCTGCTGCAGCTCGGACGAGGTTTCTGCCCTTTGAGAGGAAAAAGAGAGGGGAGTTCCATCTATCTCGCTCTGACTCTCCGGAGGTCTTTCGAAGTCATCCTTCCAGCCTTGCGCCTCCACCTCTCCGCTGTTGTCAGCTCCCAGTGAGTTGCCAGCCGCTGTCACCGGAATTCTACTCGCACCCGCAAAACCTAGGCTGCGGGCTCCCAGGGAGCATGCGTAAACCCCCGCGCGAGTTGAGGGGGCGCTTTCCGAGGTGCTGAACTTCGCCACGCCCGCTTCGGGAAGGAGGAAGCGGTGGGCGGCAGGGAGAGCCCACCAGAAGATTCTCCTTTTCCTCTTCAAAGTTTCAGAAGAAGATGGTTGTAACCCTTTATTTTCCTATGTTTCTGGAGAAAGTCGGCTTTGATTTGCTCTCCCTTCTTCTTGTTTATTCCCAAACATAACTGCAGGTATTAGAATTTTTTTCTTTCTTCTTTACTCTCACTTTATCTTTGAAATGATACCATTCGATGAAAGATGGTTCTAAAAATTCAAGATCTCCTACCCATTTTTATTTTTAAAAGCAACGGTAGTGGCCTCTTTTCATGCCCAGACCCCAAGTCAGATGATGGGCTTTTACTGGATAAACACAAATTCCACGTCCCCTTCTTTAATTATCTAACCACTTTACTTGGTGTCTGTGATTGTCACGATTTTCAAAGCTTCTTCATATAGCAGAACTATAGGTTCAAGTGTTGCCCTCTGCCTTTGGTATGTACTAAGAACTGAAGTTAGGCAGAGAGTATACAATTGGGGAGCTGACTTCACAGACACTAGATACCTCCCGCCCGGCTCTCAGCCCAAAGCTCTTTCACAAATTGCTTACTCACATGCATTCTCTTTACCTTGATGCAGTTGGAATAGGGGATTCTATGAGGCTGTTTTTGGACCACCAGCCCCTTACTTTCACTACGATTATAATCAAAACTCTTTAGCAGGTGTTTTTCAGACCAATGGAAGTAAATGTTAAGGAATCTTCTAAGTTACTTTGGGCAAGGGGAACCAGTGTAGACCATTTGAATTACTTCTCAAATCGCAGTTTATTTAAATGCCAGCTCAACTGCTCAATGTAAATTATACTTCTTAGGGTGAAATTAAGAAATTTGAAATGTTTTCTGCACTGTCCCCGCCTAAACTGAGACAAAAGTATGTTAAGCATAATTGTCCTCTCTTCTGTGGAGTTCACGACTTTACTTACAGAGATGAAGAGGATGTGGCTTTAAAGCAGCAGAGATAGTAAAATAGTTAAAAAAGAAATGTGGTACCCAAAACATATGAAGGGAAACTGAAACAATCTGGATTCCAAAGCAAGAACCCAGTTCCAAGCAGAGAACATGCTTCCCTATACACTCTGGACTTCTCCAGTTGCCGGCTAGAGGGCGTCAGGGCTTTAGTAAAAAACAAATCAAAACCAACCACCTTGAACAGCTCTAATCTGGAGAAGTTCATTCAGCCCAGCTCTGATTATTGCTCCCAATCCACAAGTTGCCTCTGTGGACACCTCTTATCTCTGTTTTAGTATCCTCATCTTTAAGCTCACTTTTCACTTCATGTTTTACTAATTCTTTCTCCATCAAAATTTTCTCTCTCCTTTATTTAAAAAAAGAAGTTAAAAAAATATTTCAAGGTGTTATTGAAAAATGAGGAAGCCTATGGCATACTCTGACAATCCTTTGCCTTGTTTTTCACACCTGTATATGGAAGGAATTACAGTTTTTAAATATTCTGAGGATAGATGCTAAGTAGGTGACATCAGAGTCAGGTGGGGAGCTCCTCCCAGCCCTATGCTGGCCCAGAGATTCTGATTCTCAGTGGATTTGGAAAAGGATCCAAGACTGTACATTTGCTTAAGTTTATTTTCATTTATTTTGAGACAGAGATAGAGAGCAAGTGGGGGAGGGACAGAGAGAGAGAGACGGAGACCAAATCCCAAGCAGGGTCTGAGATGTCAGCACAGAGCCCAATGTGGGGCTTGAATTCATGAACTGTGAGATCATGACTTGAGCTGAAATCAAGAGTTGGACGCTTAACTGACTGAGCCACCCAGGTGCCCCAAGACTCTACAACTTAAATGCATTCTTCCAGATGATACTATTTTTTTTCTAAGTTTGGGAATATCTGGACTTTTATTTTTTTTCTAACTTTCCAGGTAAAAAAATATTAAGTTCCCAAAAGTAATGAATGTCCAGTGGTGGTTTATCACACCCTAATATTGGAAACAAAGGAAGAGAAAGAGGTCTTGGCAAGTTTCCTTAAAATCACATTTGGGTCCAACAATGACATTTTCTTCATTGTGGGACTGAGAGGGCCATGTGCTCCTGTGGTATGTCAGACAGCACATCTCAGACTGAGCCCTCGGGACAGGCTGTCCCAAGTGCGACTTTCCAAGAATTCAGCCAGAATGCTTCTAAGGCTAGAATATTCGTTTCTGAATCTGCTCTCTGAAAATGAACCAGAGATCATGTACAGCAATTTATAGTATCACTTAACTAAGCCTGTGTTATGGAAGCAAAAATCCCTTTTCAAAGAAGTTCTTTTCCAACACTAACTAAAGATATTTTAGACCCATTATCCTAAAAATATGGGCCACATTTTTCTCAGACATCATCTAAAAAATTCAAGGAGAGAAACGTATCAGTGGTGGTCAAGTATCATTTAATTATACAAGGTCATAATCCAAATAATGTAATATATGACAAACAAGTTAGTAAAGGCTAGGATGTGAGTTTGAGGGAGCCTGGTATCACATGGATAGTTTGTTCTGGGCAGACTGTAGCAAGACAGAAGCACTTGAGCTGGATCTAAATGAGAAGACAGGAAATTACAGGAGTCAGGTTAGAGAGAAGATATATAATCTGAACTTCTTGATTCTGGGATTCTACAAAGAAAAGTGGGTTTTCAGATAAAATAGAAAAGAATCTATTCTTTCAAGATTCCTTTGGAATATGTGCAGATAATCTTCACTCTGAATTATTTCTTTTCAGTCTGCAGATAGCACAGAATTTTATTGTACCAAAATTATGAATTGAATTCCTAATATGCACAAAGCAATGTGTTAGGTGTTTGGATATAAAACAACAAAAACAACAATGGTATAATAATAATAATAATAATAATAATATAATAAAAGCAATGATAACCATTCATATTTCACATTTATTTGGAAACTACTATTTTTCTAGGGTTGTAACAAATGATCACAAAATGGGTGGTTTAAAAGAACAAAAATTTATTATCTCAAAATCCTCAACACTAGAAGTCAGAAATCAGGGTGTTGTCAGAGTTGGTTCCTTGGATGTTCTGAGGGAGAAAACATACCATGCCTCTCTCCTAACTTCTGGTGAGTCTATGTTGATTCCTTGGTTTGTAACAGTATCATTGTTATCTCTGTCTTTGTCTTCAGATGGCATTTCTCCTTTCTGTGTGTATCTTTGTGTCTCTGTCTTCTCTCTATATAAGGACACCAGTCACTGAATTAGTGTCTACTCTAATCCTATATGACTTCATCCTAATCTGCAAAAGTTATATATTTACATTTCCAAACAGGGTCACATTCACAGGTACCGGGAACTAGGACCTGAACATATCTTTTTAGGGGACACAATTATACCCACTACAGGTAACAACTGTGTCCACTGTGCAATGGTTTTTATCTGCATTATCTCACCTAATACTCACAAGTGAGGTTAATACTACTATCATCCCAGATCTGATTTCCAGCCTTTTATCCCCAGAACTCTAGAGTTGCATATTCAACTGTTACTTGATGCTTCAACATGGTTGCCGATTTTCGTCAGATTTTTCAATCTTAGTAAATGGCATTACTATTCACATAATCATTCAAACTAAAAACCCAAGAGTAGGGGCACCTGGGTGGCTCAGTCGGTTAAGTGTCCGACTGCAGCTCAGGTCATGATCTCACAGTCCGTGAGTTCGAGCCCTGCATCAGGCTCTGTGCTGACAGCTCGGAGCCTGGAGCCTGCTTCAGATTCTGTGTCTCCCTGTCTCTCTGCCCCTCCCCTGCTCATGCTCTGTCTCTCTGTGTCTCAAAAATAAAAATAAAAACATTAAAAAAATTTTAAAAAAACCCAAGAGTAATTCTTTACCTCTCATTTTCCCTTACACTTAATGAACTCAATGTAGCAGGTCTTAGTAGCATGTTCTCAAGAACAAAAACAAAAACAAAACCCCCAAATTCCTGAATCCACCTACTTCTTCTTATTTTTCAATTTCTATCTGTGTTAGGTATCTCTTGCTGAATAATAATTTATGTTAAAACTTTATGGCTTAAAATAACAGTCTGTGTAGTTCAGGAACCCAGGCGCGGCATAGTGTCATTGGCTCAAGGTCTAGCATGAGGTTGCAGTCAACCTATCAGCTGGCGTTGTGGTCTTATTTAATTAATTTAGCAGTAGAGAGGGGAATTTGCCTTTAAGTTCATTCACAAGGTTGTTGGCAGACCTTGATCTTTCACTCTGTGAGATGCTTCACAATATAGCAGCTGGGTTCTGGCAGGGTAATGAAGGGGG